CTCGGGATGCCCGCGGATGCCCCCGAGTGCCTTCTGGAGGAGGGCGGGCCAGGGGATGAGGGCGGGAGGGAGGCGGCGGCGGCGGACGATGGATTGGGCGCTCAAGCCGAGAGGAAACCCAAGAAAAAAACGAGGGGAGAAACCCAAGGAAAACCCAAAGAGAGGAAACACATGGACCTTCCAACCACGGAACGGATGCGAAAAACTGGGGCGCCGTTCTTCGGTGGCGTCTCGCACGTGCCTCGGCCCGACTGGGAGAGAGGATGTAGGGGAGAAAGGCAAAGCAATAACGACTCAAGCATACGAAGATGTTGAAAGGGGCCCAGAGACACACACACACACACAAACAGGCACAAGTCCCAATTTTCCGCTCCCAACCGTTTCCTAAGTTTCTGGAGTGTCGTCTCGCCTCCACTTCCCATATTTGGGAAGATTCTGGAGATTCATGGAGATCGACGATTGTTTGTGTCTGTGTGCTGTCCCCCCTCCTGAAAAGAGGCAAAGCGGTAAAGACCCAGGCATCCGAGGATGTGCTTGTTCTCCAGTCCGCGGCCCTCGACCTCGCGACATTTCCCCCGGGGGTAGCTTTGCCTCCCGGATCCGTTCCAGCTGGCCCCGGGCCCGACCGCGGGTCCCAGGAGCCGAGACGAAGGGCACCTTTTTGTTAGCGGCGGGTGGCCAAGGGGGGGGGCCATCCAAGAGTGGGGGGCGCAAATCATGGCCGGCGGCACGCGCGCGGCCCAGGGGGGGGCCGGGGACGCATTGAGGTGAAGGCGAGGCGCCGAGAAACCTGGGGAAATCTCATAGCCCACGCCATGATATCCCAGCGCCCCCCTGGGTCATCACCCCCGTCTTGGCCGCCTCCTAGACGCGACTGCGCGAGGCGCCGAGGAGCGGCAGCCGGGGCGCGGGGGATGGAGGCTCTTGGCCCCGGCAGCCGGCGGGCCGCGCCGCGGCTCCCGGCACAGGCGCGCGCAGCAACCTCGGGGAAGCACGCGGGACCCAAACAAAACACAAACATGGCCCCCTTCATCCTCCCACTCCTCCAAGGAACGAGGAGGGGAAGAGGACGGCGGGGGGGGGGAGGGGGACTGGAGGTGGCGGTCTTGTATATATATATATATATATATATATATATATAAGTATGTATATAATATATATTCCTGGGGCCCGCAGAGAAGAAGGCGGTCGCGGGGGATGAAAGCGGGAGGAGGCCTCAGACGTTGAGAGTCTTCGCCGCGAGGAGTGCACAGGCGGCCTCAGGCACAAGGGCCCGAGTACCCACATGTGCGCGGTCAGTGCGGGCTTCCGAAAGGCTGGGGGGGTCGCCGTGACATCCGCTGCGCGGCAGGCGAAATGCCGCTGCTCAGTCAGGACCGTCGGCGGTCGCCATCGTGAGGTCTGGAGCTGGAGGGCGTACGCCGCGACAGAAAAGAGCCCATCGTCGGATGCATGCGAGGGTAGAGGCCTCCAAGATGAAGCTGGAGTACATGGGGTCGGATGATAACGCCGCGTCGTTGATGCATCCCCCCGATGCGGCGTGATCCTCTGACCCCACTCCGACCCCGACGTCGGCGCTGCATCGGCGACGTCGGCGGAGAGAAACTCGGGCTCCGCATCGAGCCGCATCGCCGAGCCGCATCGCCGATGCATCAGCGATGCGGCGCGATCTTCTGACCCCATCTGCTCAGACGCCACCTGGGAGGCCTAGAAAGAAGGAAGAGTTCGAGGAAGGCTGTCGCTACGCTCCTCCGCTGCCGCGCGTCCTGTTCGGCCCTCGCCGCCAAGTGCCCAGGAAACGCTGCCGGGGGGGACTCCGTCGTCGAGATTGACGGGCGACGACGGCCGACGACGACGGCGACGACGGCGACGACGACGACGACGACGACGACGACGGCGGCGGCAACGACGAATACGAATGCAACGAATGACGACGAATACGACGACGACGGTCTTGAGGCTGCCCTCGCCGCCAGGGTCCAGGAAGCGCTGCTAGTACGGGGGGGGGCTCCATGACTTAGAGCGAACGCGCGCGCGCGCTGCCGCCCGCGCAAGGACGGCGCAAGCCCGCCCATTACGGTTGGCGTTGAAAAGACGTCGTGGAAGATCGCTTTTCGGAAAACACGCCGCGGAAGGTTAGGAAGCATCTACTGGGAGAACTTCGTAAAACAAAATCACTGGCGATTAAGCTCCATTGCCCGGCAACTTCACAGGATTTTGGCCGGAGTAGGCCCTGGATTAAGCTGACCAAGCTAGATCAAGCCGGACTAGTAATAGTGGAAGCAGTAGTAGTGGTCGTCGTCATCGTCGAGCAGCAGCAGCAGCAGCAGCAGTAGTAGTAGTAGCAGTAGTAGTAGTAGTCGTAGTAGTAGTAGTAGTAGTAGTAGTACTAGTAGTAGTAGTAGTAGTAGTAGTAGTAGTAGTAGCAGCAGCAGCAGCAGCAGCAGCAGCAGCAGCAGCAGCAGCAGCAGCAGCAGCAGTAGTAGTAGTAGTAGTAGTAGTAGTAGTAGTAGTAGATGTAGTAGTAGTAGTCGTAGATGTAGTAGTAGTAGTAATCGTCGTAGTCCTAGTCGTAATCGTAGTAGTAGTAGTAGTAGTAGTAGTAGTAGTAGTAGTAGTAGTAGTAATAATCGTAGTAGTAGTAGTAGTAGTAGTAGTAGTAGTAGAAGTAGTAGTAGTAGTAGTAGCCGTACCCGTAGTCGTAGTAGTAGTAATACTAGCCGGAGTAATGGTAATACACGTGGTAGTAATATAGCCGTAACCGTAGTAGTAATAGTACTAGTAGTAGGAATAGTTCTAGTAATAGTACGACTAGTACTAGTACGAATAGAAAAGAGGTCGTAGTCCTAGTAGTAGTAGCAGTAGTAGTAGTAGTAGGAATAGTGGTGGTAGTAGTGGTAGCACTAGTCGTCGTAGGAGTACTGGTAAAAGACGTACTAGTAGTAGCAGTGGTAGTAGCAGTCGTCGTCGCCGTCGTATTTGTAGTAGTCGTAGTAGTCGTAGTCGTAGTCGTAGTCGTAGTCGTAGTAGTAGTAGTAGTAGTAGTAGTAGTAGTAGTAGTAGTAGTAGTAGTAGTAGTAGTAGTAGTAGTAGTAGTATTAGTAGTGGTAGTAGTAGTAGTAGTAGTAGTAGTAGTAGTAGTAGTAGTAGTAGTAGTAGTAGTAGTAGTAGTAGTAGTAGTAGTAGTAGTAGTAAGTAGTAGTAGTAGTAGTAGGTAGGAGTAGGTGTAGGCCCTGGATTAAACTGGCCAAGCTAGATAAAGCCGGACTAGTAATAGTAGAAGCAGTAGTAGTGGTCGTGGTCATCGTCGAGCAGCAGCAGCAGCAGCAGCAGTAGTAGTCGTAGTAGTAGTAGTAGTAGTAGTAGTAGTAGTAGTAGTAGTAGTAGTAGTAGTAGTAGTCGTCGTAGTAGTAGCAGTAGTAGTAGTAGTAGTAGTCGTCGTAGTCCTGGTCGTAATCGTAGTAGTAGTAGTAGTAGTAGAAGTAGTAGTAGTAGAAGTAGTAGTAGTAGTAGTAGTAGCCGTAGTCGTAGTCGTAGTAGTAGTAATATTAGCCGGAATGGTAATACACGTGGTAGTAATATAGTCGTAACCGTCGTAGTAATAGTAAAAGTAGTAGGAATAGTTCTAGTAATAGTACGAATAGTACTGGTACGAATAGAAAAGAGGTCGTAGTCCTAGTAGTAGTAGCAGTAGTAGTAGTAGTAGTAGAAATAGTGGTGGTAGTAGTGGTGGCACTAGTCGTCGTAGTAGTACTGGTAAAAGTCGTACTAGTAGTAGTAGTGGTAGTAGCAGTCGTCGTCGCCGTCGTATTTGTAATAGTCGTAGTGGTCGTAGTCGTAGTCGTAGTCGTAGTAGTAGTAGTAGTAGTCGTGGTAGAAGTAGTAATAATAGTAGTAGTAGAAGTAGAAGTAGTAGTAGTAGTAGTCGTTGTAGGAGTAGGAGTAGGAGTAGTAGTAGTAGTAGTAGTAGTAGTAGGCGTAGTAGTAGTAGTAGTAGTAGTAGTAGTAGTAGTAGTAGTAGTTTTCGGAGACATAGTAGTAATAGTAGTAGTAGCAGTAGCAGTAGTAGTCGTACTAGTAGTGGTAGTAGTAGTAGTAGTAGTCGTCGTAGTAGTGGCAGTAGTAGTAGTAGTACCACAAGACGTAGTAGCAGTTGTACGAATAGTTGCATGGATAATGGTTGTGGAAACCAGAATATTAATACTCCTAGTCGTCTTAGTAGTAGCAGTAAACGTGGTAGTAGCAGTCGAAGTAGTAGTAGTAGTAGTAGTAGTAGTAGTAATAATAGTAGTAGTCTTCGTAGTAGTAGTAACAATAGTAGTGATAGTGGCAGTGGTAGTAATAGTAGCAGTAGTAGCAGAACCAGTAGTAGTAGTAGTAGTAGTAGTAGTAGTCGTAGTAGTAGTAGTACTTGTAGTAATAGTAGTAGTGGGAGGCGTCGTAATCATAGTAGCAATAGTGGTGGTAATAGTTTCCGTAGTCGTCGCAGTAGTAGTAGTCCTACTAAGACTAGAAGAAATATGCGTCATAGTAGTAGTGGTTGTAGTAGGAATCGCAAACGTAGAATAAATAGTTCTCGTCGTAACAATATTGGTAACAGCCGTCCTCGCAGTACTGTTTTAGTAATGATGGCAACGATAGTTGTCGTAGTCGTAGCCGTAGTCGTAGTAGTAGTAGTAGTAGTAGTAGTAGTAGTAGTAGTAGTAGTAGTAATAGTAATAGCGAAACGAGTGGCAGTACCAATACTAGGCGGTACTAGTCGTAGTCGTAGTCGTAGTAGTCGTAACAGTCGCAGTCGTGGTCGTACTCGTCGTAGCAGTTGAGATCGTAGTGGTAAACATATTGGGGATAGTCGTAGTACTAGTAGTAGTAGTAGTAGTAGTAGTAGTAGTAGTAGTCGTCGTAGTAGCCCTAGTAGTCGTAGTAGAAGTAGTAGTAGTAGTAGTAGTAGTAGTAGTAGTAGTAGTAGTAGTAGTAGTAGTGGTGGTGATAGTAGCAGTAGTAGAATAGTCAGAATCCGCATAATGGTAAACTGTATGTAAACATAATAGTGATAGTCGTAGCCATAGTAGTAGTAGTACTGGTAGCATACGCAGCAGTAGTACTAGAACTTGTAGTACTAGTAGTAGCCGTAGTATCCGTAGTAGAAGTAGTAGTACAAGTAGGTGGTAGACGTGCAGTCGGAGGTGCAATAGTAGTAATAGCATTAAGACCAATAGTTGTAAGAAGAATAACAGTAGGATTAAACGTAGTCGTCGTGGTAATAGGACCTGTCGTACTAGTAGCAGTCCGAATAGCAATTACATGCTAGTAGCAGTAGCTGTAGTAGTACGAGCAGTCACAATACGAGCATTTGAAAACATAGCCGTAGCAGCTGTAATAGTAGTAATCGTCGTGGCAGGAAGAGTAGTAATAGTAGTCGTGAGAGTAGTAGTCGTACTAGTAGTAGTGATGTTAGTAGTCGTAGTGGTAGTGGTAGTGGTAGTGGTAGTGGTAGTGGTAGTGGTAGTGGTAGTGGTAGTAGTAGTATAGTAGTATAGTAGTAGTAGTAGTAGTAGTAGTAGTAGTAGTAGTAGTGGTGGTGGTAGTAGTAGTAGTAGTAGTAGTGGTAGTCGTAGTAGTAGTAGAGAGTCGTAATAAAAAAAAAAAAACAAGTAGTAAATCAAAAAAATAGTAGATCGTAGTCGTAGTCGTAGTCTCAGACGTAGTCCGTAGTAGTTCAAGTAAAAGCGACGACTTATCAGCAGTAGGTAGTAGTAGTAGTACTACTACTAACGACTACTACTCTACTAAGTGGCAGTGGTAGTAGTAGTAGTAGTAGTAGCTGCGATTAAAACTAGTAGTCAGTTAGTAGTAGTAGTCGTAGTCGTAGACGTAGTATCGTAGTCGCATCAGCAGCAGCAGCCTCAGAGCAAACACAGCAGGAGTAGTAAGTAGTAGTAGTAGTAGTAGTAGTAGTAGTCGCAGTAAAGTAGTCGTAGTCGAATCGTCGTATAGTAGTAGTATAGTAGTAGTATCGTAGTCGTAGTAGTAGTAGTAGTAGTAGTAGTAGTAGTAGTAGTAGTAGTAGTAGTAGTAGTAGTAGTAGTAGTAGTGGTAGTAGTGGTAGTAGTAGTAGTGGTAGTAGTAGAAGTATTAGTAGTAGTAGTAGTAGTAGTAGTAGTAGTAGTAGTAGTGGCAGTAAGAGTATCAAACTTAGTAAGTCGAAAGAATAACAACAACAATCATAGCGATCGTAGCTATCAAGATAAATAACCGACGATAGCCTTGCCACACGCTCGTGACGTGGGACAGTTGAGATGGTGAGAGACGCATATAACCGGGAAAAGCTGCAATGGTGAGGTTCCCATTGCCCTGTCACACGTGCGTGATGATAACTCTACTCAACATAAGAAGATCGCAATTTCGAATCGTAGCTTTCCCCCGCGAAAAACAAATTCGGCTTTGCCGCCCCCCTCTCCCGTCCAACTCTGTCTTGGCCGGAGGACTCTCAGAGGGGAGGGGGAGTATGATGTGTTATCCGCGGTGTTCGGTTCAGCGGGGTTGAACGCCGATTCAGAATCTACCTCCCAGGAGTTGCATCTGGGGTAAGTTCGCGCGGCGTCGGCGCGCGAAAGTGTTTTCTGACACCGCGTCGGTCGTTCAACCTTGAACCGATCGCGGCCCCGATCGTTCGAGGCTGAATTCCGTCGGGTCCTGGGGCGTTCCCGTGTCGCTCGGTGCTTCCGCGTCATGCTGTCATGCGGTGTTCCCATGGGCCGGCGTTGCGACATGGCACGCTGTCTTTGCAACGCCAAATAGAAAGCGCCACTGGCGGCCTCATCCAGTGCAACTGACATACCATGTCTTCCCGCCTTGATCTTCCGCCGATCCCCCTGGGCGACCACCGTGTGAGCGACGAAACGAAACGGGTCCTATGCGCGATGACATTTCGACCTGACGCGGTGGCTTACGGGGGCCACCAGCGAGACACGCTGCATTGGAAACGAGGGCAGATATGCGTGACCTTACGCGGGCATTTTACGCGCGAATGTCGGCGCCATCGACTATGTTGTTTGAACTGGCTCATGTAAGCCCTTCCCCCGCAGGTCAAAGCTCTCAGAAAGCGGCCCGGGCCCACAGTCCTGAAGGATGTCTGCAGGAAGGCCAGCCCCAGCGGGCTGCCCCTCATGCCCCAGCGCCGACTGGGCCCGCACGGGTGGGATCCCAAGTGGTGTCCGCAGACCTCCCTCCGGCGTCTTCCTCCGAGGCCCCGTCGAGGCAGTTGGGACGCGGGTGCCTCACGTGGAGGCCGCGCAAATGAGGTCCAAGCCGATGGGGTCGGAGGATCGCGCCCCCTCGACGATGCGTCGGCGAAGTCGGCGCAGAGAAAGTCAGGCTCCAACATCGGATGCGGCGCGATGCACCGACCCCGCCTGCCTCGACCCGATTCGGACGGCATGGATCACAGCGTCTGCCTAAGGCAACCGCCATTGGATTCGCAGGAGGTGCGACGTCAACCTCGCGATCGGGCGCGCGCGCGCCTGGCAATCCGGGAGCCTCAGGACAGCGGAGGGCGCAAACCGCTGGGGGGAAGGCACCCGCCCCCTCTGCTGGGGCGCGCACGCGCGCCCACGCGAGAGGAGCGCAGCGAGACGACGACACCCGCCCCCCGTATTTACGATCTCTTTTGTACTGCCTTGCCCCTCCCCCTCTTCGGATCCTTCTCCCGATGTCCATCTGCGCCCCTCTGCCTCTCGCGCCCCCCCCCGCAACCTGCCCCTCTCACGCCCTCTCTCTCCCTGAGCTGAGCCGAGCGCCGACGGAAGCAGGCACGATCTCCTCTCCCTCTCTCCCCCCCCCTCCCTATCCCAAGTATCACGGTGCTCCGGCGACGTGCCTCCAGCGTCGCACTCACGCTGACCAACGCCCAGGGGCAGTCCAAACGCCTCCCTGACAGGCTCTCGAGAGCGCACAACGCCCAGAACGACGTCCAGCAGGCCTTCCGCACGCCGGTCCTCCCGGGGGCCTCCCTCCGAGAATGTCTCCAGGCGCGACCTGCTGCCCACCGCTAGCGCACAAGAGCCAGCGACCTCCGTCCTTTCACAGGTCGTGCCCTGCGAAAACTCCTGGCAACACGCTCCGTGGTCCCGGCCCCGGGACGCCGAAAAAGGGCGCCTTCATCTCACCAAGGCCCCGAGGCGCGCGTGGAAATCGTGCTCAAAGCTGGAGCATATTTTCAATGTCGGCTGTACAGACGGGGTGTGTGCTACACCCTGATCGCCACAACCCGCCAGCTTTTCCAATCATTGAGCAGGGACCGACCGTCCCGGCATTCCTTCAGGCCTACCACGAAATGGTCTTCAAACCCAGAAATGTTCTAAGAACAAAAAACAATGTTCGTAGAACACCAACCCGATGCGTTAGAACACAATAGTCCCAGCCAGACATGTTCTACGAACATTTCATAAACACCACAAAAGGTTCCCAGAACATTGCTCGGTGGGCCTCTAGGCACGCCAGGACGCCTCGCCACCTGGCCCAGAAGGCAGCAGGACAGCACGCCGGCGGCGCTGGAGCATACACCACGTCTCACCGAGCCCCCCTGGGCAGGATGCGACGTCCTGACTTTTTCAGGACGGCGTCCCCGGAAATCCCGACACTTTCCCCGTGACTGGCTTTTCGTCCTGAATCATTGTTTGACGGTCCCGGGGCCCGGTGAGGGCCCCCAGGGGCCGCACACGGCGAAAAACTTGCCGGATCCTGGTTCTTGTTACGCAATCATGCCTGGGCCCTCTCCCCTTCCCCGAGAGAGCCCTGCGCTTCCTGCCTGGCGCCCAGAGGGTCGGGTCGGGCGAAAGGAGGGGATAGCAAAAAGGGGGTTTGAGAATTGATTTACCCGGCGGCTCCCGGTGCCGGAGGCGGCTATGTATCGAGGAATGGGCCCTTCTGTGGGGCCGAAACCCCCAAGAGGCCTCAGCGAGACGCCCAACATCAGTGATTTTACAACGGTTTGGGCAACATTGTGGCCTATGCGGGGGGCCGTAATGTACTATGGCCCCTCGTTTGATCGATCTCTTCCAAGTTGGCCCAAAGATGGCCCCAATGGTGCCCCAAGACGGCCCCGAGATGCGCCCAGGAGGCCCCACGAGGCCCCCCCCAAGATGCCCCCAATAGGCGCCCAAGATACCCCCAAGAGGCCCCAAGAAGCTTCCCATGAGCACCCAAGGCGCCCCAAGCCCAAGGGGCCCCCGAGACTGCCAAAAGAACCCCAAAACACCCAAAAGGGACTGCATGCAGCAAATTTCGCAACCCCCCCTTTCCCAATCCCCCTGTTTCGTCCGGCCCGAGAGGGGCGGGGGAGGGTCACCGCGCCCCGTGCCCCCCCGCCGCCGCCTCGCGCCCTCCGCGCCTCCCCGCGAGGCCCCGGCTCGCTCCGTTGAAGGGGCCCTGGGACACACAAATAGGTAGACACAAATAACAGGATTCCCCATATTTTCCAATCTTTTCTGGGCTTTTGCCTTCCCCCCCACTTCCCATATGTTCCCACATTTTCTGGGAAATCGGCGATTCATTGTGTCTGTGTGATCTTTCTCCTCCTGCTCCGTGCCGCCTCGCGGGCCGCCTCCCGTGCCTCCCTCCTGCGGGGGAGGCCCCGGGCTCTCGGGCACACGGGTCCGGCCGCCCCGGCCTTCGGGCACGCGCCGCGCTGACGTTGGGCTGCGGCTCCGTGGGCCTGTGAGCATCGACTCACCGATCCCCATCCCCGCTGGCATGGCCCTGGCCCAACTGGCCGATTTAGCCCTTCGGACTTCGAGGGACCTACGTATCCCCAACTGGCGGGGTGGGATGGTGGGGCTCGGATACCATGGCCCGGTGGGGATGGGGATAAGTTAAACGATGCTGCATCTGGCGCGCAGGCGCCAGATCCACAGATCTGGGAACGCACCCCCCGAAAACACGAAGCCAACACTGCCCGACATTTCGGCGGAGCGTGCCGATGGTGTACGGAAGCGGTGCCCGTCGCGAATCCGAGCACCTTAACATCCTTGCTTGCGTTTCCTCGCAGCCTGCAAGGCGCTGGAGATGTCGGGCCCCTCCCCTGATGGAGGGCCGTCGCGAGAGCGCGAGGGGCGGGCGGGGAAACCCTCTACTCGACTCGCCTCGCTCGAACCTCCTCCTCCTCCGCCTCTTCCTTCTCCTCCTTCTCCTCCTCCTCCTCCTCCTTCTCCTCCTTCTCCTCCTCCTCCCCCTCCTCTTTCTCCTCCTCTTTCTCTGTCTTCTCCTCCTCCACCTCTCCTCCTCCTCCTCCGCCTCCTCCTCGTCGTCGTCCTCCTCCTCCTCGTCCTCCTCCTCCTCCCCCTGCTCCGCCCTTCCTTGTCGGGCGGCGGCTTCTAGAGGGAGGGGCCACGACCTCTCGCGGCTCTGCAGCGGACGAGGGGCGGGCAGGAATATATAGTTGGGCTGCTGAAGAAGGAACGCTGAATGAGGACCAAAGCCCCTTGCTGGCGCACCCGAACAGCCTGGGTGCACGAGGAAGGCTAGAAGAACAACCACGGCATGACCTAAGGAACAGCGAGCCCCTTCTGGACCCGACGCGGCCCTTCTTTCAGCGCCTTGACTGTGCTTTGATCGTCGGGTGGCTGTAAGTGCGGTAAGAGCGTTCATCTTACATAATCTTAGTTAAGCCATAGAACGTACACTTGTTGATCGCGCATCTCATGTGTGCATATGCAATACTTATGGTGTTTGTAAGTGTATATGTAAGTAATATACTAAGTTAGATATCTCTGCTAAGTCGATGGGGCTGAACATATTCGTGTTTTTGCTAATCATTTGCGTATTTTTTATTCTTAACTTTTATGAAATCCATTGAATTTCCGTTGTTGTTGTTGTTCAGTTGTTCAGGACCGAGGCGCCGCAGGTACTTGCTGTACCTCGCGGCCGCGGCGCTGCGGGCTGCGCGCATGCCCGCGGGGAGGGGGGAGGGAAGGAGGAAAATGTTTATCCATGTGTCTTCGGCCCTCCCTTATCCCCCCTTTCCTTAGGCGGCGCACCGCCTTCTCCTCCGTCGCCTCGTCCTCCGTCGGCGGTAATCCGCCTTCTCCCCCCCCCCTGGCGGCAATCCGCCTTCTCCCCCTCCGTGGCGGCAAACCGCCCTTCTGGCGGCAAACCGCTTTCTCCTCCTTTGGCGGCAAACCGCCTACCCCTTCTGGCGGCAAACCGCCTTCTCCTCCTCTGGCGGCAAACCGCCTACCCCTTCTGGGGGCAAACCGTCTACTCCTCCTCTGGCGGCAAACCGCCTTCTCCTCCTCGTGGCGGGAAACCGCTTCTTCCCAACCGCCCTATCGGCGGCTTGCTTTGCCGCCTCCTTCCACCCCCTCGGCGGCAAGCCGCCCACCCCATTCCCCCCTCCCCTCCCTGGCCTCTCCTTGACCCACCCTCCCCCATAGCTCTCTTCTTCCCCCCCGCGCACCCTTCGGCACCCCCTCCCCCGCCCCCCCTTCGACACCCTCTCCCCCCTGCGCCCCCCCTCACCCAGGAGGAGGAGGAGGAGGAGGGAGAGGAGGAAGAGGAGAAGGAGGAGGAGGAGGAGGGGGAGGAGTGGGAGGAGGGGGAGGAGGAGGAGGAGGAGGAGGAGGGGGAGGAGGAGGAGGAGCAGGAAGAGCAGGAGTAGGATATGTCCGTCGCACGCGCATTGGCTCGAGCCGTGTTTTGGCGAGCCCTCCTCCGAGGGCTTCGGGCGGCGTGCGCGCGCGGGGAGTCGCGCACTCCGCTCGGCGCGCGGTCGCGCCGCATCGCTGCCATGGAGGGCATCCTTCGAGGCCGCCTGGAGGAGGCGCGGGCGGCGTTCGTAGCGCGCGGCAGTGCGACGGAGCACCTTCCTGCCTGCATCCAGGCGGCGACGTCCCAGCGCTGGTCGCAGCTCCAGAGTGCGCAGTTTGCTGCTTTGGGCGGCGGCGTGGGGTGGGCGCAGTCCGAGCTGGGAGACTTCTTGCAGGCTCTGTCGTCGGGCAGCCTGCAGGGGAGGAAGCTCCAGAACTACGAGGGGTTCATTGAATTTCTGACGCCTCAGTTGTGGGAGTTCGTGCTCTCGCCGCATTCGGGCTTCACTGCCAAGATGGCGGCGTTCTCAGAGCACCTCGGGGCGCTTGGCCTGAGGCATCCGAGCTGCCCGACGGCCGCCAATATGGCAGCATTCTTGTTGCTTGTGTGCAAGCAGACAGGCGTGGAGACGGGCGAGATCACGAGGGAGCTGTTGCAGTCATATCTGGCCACAGTGAAATCCTCGTTCAAGAATCTCGTGGCGACGATGCCGCCCGCCGCCCAGGGATGGCATCCAGGCTCTCCCCATCACGCCTGGGAGGCTCCAGTCTCAGTACCCCATCACGTACGTCGACGCCTTCCCGCCAGGTGTTGGAGCGACGGCGCCGCAGATAAATCCCGTCGAGATGGTGACGATTGCGAAGCGGATTAATCTCCGTGCAGGGAAGAAGAGCGGCCACCTCGCGCTGCCCGCG